CCCCCATTGCGGGCGACCTGACCCAGTGGCTGCCATCACTAGTCCTCGTTCCCCGGACAGCAGTGGACGGAGGGAGGTCGGCCTGCGCCCTCGGCCTCTCACATCCTTGGGAGAATCGGTTAAGCGGTCGGAGGGAGGAGGTAAGGAAAGGTCAAGTCCGGGAGATGTGAAATGTCGTTTTCATGCAACATGGGAAGTAAAAGGGAACGTTTAACAGAAGTTTGACATCGATGTAATGTTTTCCCATATGCTATAGGAAGCGAAGGATCGGTATATACATTTATTCATTAAAGGTACATTGATAAAAATATTTTCCGTAATGTATCGATTGTCCTTGTATTCTTTAATACCTTAATCGCTATTTCCTTGTCCATTCTATTCATGTGCGGGTACCCTGATATAGGGTACGCACAAATTTCAATATTAAGATATTTGAGGTACAGATATCGAAATATAGAGATGCAGTGGACAACTTTTTGCAGATAATTGTAAGAACAGTCCCTGGTGCTTATGAAATGCAAAGATGGTTTGTTATTAAAGGGATGCTGAAGGCATAGATTGGCGAGGGTGGTGTTCATAGTGGCCCGGCGTTGAGCTCTGGGGTTTTGGGTACGACCCATGTAGCCACGGACGTGTGTTTCGTTGTTTGCCTGTGGCCTAGATATTGATTGGCGTGTTGTTAGTACTAATGGGTGAACGCTCATGCTTGTGGGCATACATGGAATGTGTACGAAGAGAGGGTGCGAGACGGTACACGTGGGAAAAAGGTGTGTTGTGATAAATTGTGGAGGAGTGCGAGAGAGGCGGAGATCCCGGGCTTAGCGTAATGGCCAACGAGTATTGCGCTATTGTGTGGACCCGCCACCAAGGTATTACGGGCCCACTGCTCCAGGAGGGACGCTGCCTCTGCGGATGGGGGGGGGGGGGGGGCGAGAAGGGAAGAAACTAAGAGAAGCGAGGGAAAGAAGAGGAAGCCGGTGGAATAAAGGCCAGGGGCGGGGAGGGAAGGAAGGAGGCCTCTCGTGAGCAAAGCATTTAGTAAGTTGTGCTGTGATATTACTTCGCAGATGGAGGGAGGAAAGGGAGGGAGAAGAGCACTGAGAGGAGTTAGAGGAAAAAACTCAAGCCGTTGTATTAAATGTGTTTTGACCTCGCCAGCAGTAAAGGGGCGCGGGGCCATGCCATATTGATTTTAGTATTGACAGTTTTTCCATTTTCCGTTTTCCCGTGGTCACTTCAGGGCTTGGGGGGTGGGGGCGTGGAGGTGCATACACAAAGACTGCCGACTCGCAGTAATGGCCTCGCAGAAGGAGCTGATTAAGATTCAGACAGCGAGGTTCCTCCTTCTTCTGGCGTGTCGTGGAGGCTGTCAAAACCCGAGGCGAGAGAACTCATAAGGTGGCGCAAGTTATCACCTCGGGAGGCTCATCTGCTTGGTAAACAGATTTAAGATGCCACGCTGCCATAAACAGTGCCAGGTGGCGGCGACCAGCGAACCCAACCCACGCCTCACACTCCGCCACCGCCACTGCTGCTCCGCGTGTGGACGAACTGCTGGGTAATCCTCTCGCTGGTTTACAGGTTGTTAAGGTGGCTGGTCGTCATGCAGGAGCCCCTCCTTACTTCTACGGCGGCTCTGCGGAGGCCCCTTGGCGCTAGGACCTGTAGGAGAGCAGTTGGAAGGAGCTCAAGGGGAGGCAGCCTAAGAATGTGCGTCGGACTGCAAAAGCCATTGGTGGAGAGGGACGGGGCAGGGGCAAATCGGAGCATAAACACAACGTCTATTTTATTGAACTCATATTTGAAATTGTATTCACTAATTTCAGTTTTACATTTGTATATATTTTGCTATTTATAGAATAACCGTCATATTGGATCGAAAAAGTAAATGATATGAGATCGAATGGTACGAGCATGACGTTTGCTAGTTGAATGCAAAATATGTGTTCGGGAATTCGTCCGCAGCAGTGCTTGAGGAAAGTCGTCTGGGGTTTTGAAATGCGGTGGTCGTCCTCTTCGGAAGTTGGCCGAATGTGTGCTGTTGCTGGGAAGAGCCGGTCGTGCGTAGGGTCGTCATGCAGGGACGTGGGAGGGTGCCGGGGGAGTCGTGCGAGAGGACCCTCAGGTTTTTGCGGCGAAGTTTTTCTTGTGGCGCCGCAAGTGGTGAGTTCTCACGGCCGCGCACCGCAGTACAAATCACCCCCGCCGCAGTTACCGCCGCCCGACCGCCGCCCTCACAAAACCCCCGACAACGCCCACTTGCCGCTCTTCATTGTCTTGCTGTAACTTCCAGTGCCGCCCCTTTATGCTGCCCCGCTCTGTATGAACGCGCGTGTCCGCCGATGGGCGTGAGTGGGTCTGTGTTTAGGTTTTCACTTTCGGTCTCTCTGTCTCCATCCCCATCATTTGTAAGCAGGTACACGAGTGCGCTGTGTTCGCGCGTCATGTTTTGTGCGAGTTTGTGTGCGCGCGTGTTCTCTTTAAAGTGAGTGCGTACAGCAGGTTTGCATGCATAATCATTGTTATCTGGATCTTCGCCTCTTGCGGTTACTTACTTCGGGATCGCTGTGGTTAGTTTGGACCACAGTAGCTGCTCATAACATGGTGTGGTATGGTCAGGCCGTAGGCGCTTGTGCGTGGTGTGGGAGGCTCTTCGGCACAGCTGTGTCGTTCCACAGAAGCGCCTCCGAACCACCATTCTGAGAGCGCAAAGTAATGCGTATGGCAGCGCGTCGGAAATTAGTATTTGCGCTTCTTAATCATCAGCAGTCCACGGCTGCTTGGGTCACTGTCACGAAATTATTTGTACATACTATTGTGTGTGCTTGGAGGTGTGTACGTGAGTCGGGTCACGACGCAAGGCTGCCCCCTGGCGGCGTGGCCACCTTCGCAGCACTTCGAGAAACTTACGAGAGCAAAAAGCTGCGTCGCGGTGATTGCCGGAGCGGCGAAGCCTTTTTGTTCCCGCATCCTCGCAATGGCCGCCCATGAATAAAACATGACCCCGCGGCCTCCTAATGTACTGCCACGCCCTCCCTACACACCTCGCTTCACCATCTACACGAACCGCCACCTGTGACCATCTCGGAAGCCAGCTGCGCGGCCACCTGCCCGCCAGTGTAGCCACTCGGTGCAAGTACAGTAATGAGGTTGGCTTGGAATCGTATTAACTGCTGCTTGCACCGTTACTTTCCCACCCATTTAATTGCTGCAGTCACACAGTGCAACAACAGCAACAAAAACAATAGCAATACCTTCAATAATTACTGCTAGTCACAATCGTTTATCATTTGAGTGTGTACTTTTTATCATACCCACCGGCAAAACAGCAGCCACGCTACCACACAGGCATGCGAGATGTGCGAGAGTGGCCTGAACGGCTGAGGGGAAGGCACATACGGTGCGCGGCCATGAATGCATTACAATATTGCCGCGCTCCTGGGTGACACGCCATGATGGATGACACCACAGTCCAGATGGGCGGATCGAGCCATACCAAGCCCCTCCACCCGTGTTTCTTTCTAAGGCGGTAGGCCCCTCCTCTCTCTCTCTCTCTCTCTCTCGCTCGCTCGCTCGCTCGCTCCTTCTCTCTCTCTCTCTCTCTCAATCTCTCTCTCTCTCTCTCTCTCTCTCTCTCTCTCTCTCTCTCTCTCTCTCTCTCTCTCTCTCTCCTCTCCCTCTCCTTCTCCCTCTCCCGCTTCTTCTCTCTCTCCCTCCCTCTTCCTCTCCTGCTCCTTCTCTCTCTCTATCTCTCTCCTTTCCTCTCCTCTCCTCTCCTCCCCCCTCGTCTATTCTCCAGTCCTCCCCCCTCCTCTCCTCTTTTCTCTTTCTGCCTTTCACTTCTGTCTCCCTCTCTCCCTCCCCTTCTACCTTCTCTCTCCCTCTTACCTCCCAAGCCTCGGAATATTAGCTTACACTTGCCCTCTTTTCTCGCCTCTCCAACTTCATCCGACCAAGATAGCGACTCACTCCGACCACATGCTTCATCATCGCCTCGCACTGCCCTACTGTCCTTCAGTTGGGATGTCAGCCGCCCTTGCTTCTTTCGCTGTGTATAGGACTAAACCTGGGATTTTTGCACCCTCTCTCTCTCTCTCTCTCTCTCTCTCTCTCTCTCTCTCTCTCTCTCTCTCTCTCTCTCTCTCTCTCTCTCTCTCTCTCTCTCTCTTCTCTCTCTCTTTCTCTCCCCTCTCTCTCCATCTCTCCCAGTCTATTTTTTTCTCTCCCCTCTTCCCTCCCAGTGTGATCTGTGACAGTCGCGATGTGACGGATTTTTTGGGTGAGACCGGGAAGAGGGAAGGTGGTGGGGGAGAGGGGAGAGGGGAGAGGGCAGAGGAGAGAGGGGGGACGTGACGTGAGCGGCATCATCCTGGTATAGATTATCGGAGTCTTCACACGGTGGGGAAGGCTGCTGGCTACACTGAACTCGCTCGCGGTGTCTCCTGTGGACGCAGATGGATCTCGCGCCGCCCCGCCGTTCGCCAATTCCGCGACCCCGTCCTCTGCGGCAGGTCGAGGGTCAGGCGAGCCCCGGTGGAGGCTGAAAGGCTTTCTGTGGTCATTGTATATTGTTTTCCAGTATTCTTTCCCAGTTGTTTATTATGGTTCACATTATTTTCGTTATTATTGCTAATAATGTTGTTATTGTTACTACTATTATTAATGATATTATTATTGTTGCTGATATTAGTGTCATTTTATCATTAAAATTACTATTATTAACGTTATGATGATGATGATCAGTATTATTAGTGTTATTATTGTTTTATTATCATTATTATGATCATTAACATTATTGTTTTTTTTCTTAATGTTATTAATGTTATAATTGATATTGTTATTATTTTTTTTCTTGATGTTATTAATGTTATAATTGATATTGTTATTGTTATTATTATTATTATTATTATTATTATTATATTACTCCTATTAATATTATTGCTGTTGTTGATGCTATTGTTCTAAAATCCCTGTGTGACGCCCACTCTCTTGCCTTGCAGGCGTGTAACGAGTTCACGACCCACGTGATGAACTTGCTCCGGGAACAGTCTCGCACCCGCCCCATCACCCCCAAGGAGATCGAGCGCATGGTGCAGATCATCCACAAGAAGTTCTCGTCCATACAGATGCAGCTCAAGCAGTCCACCTGCGAGGCCGTCATGATCCTGCGCTCGCGGTTCCTCGACGCCAGGTACGGCCTCGCCTCTGCCCCGCCGTCGGGGGAGGGGAGGGGAGGGGCGGGGAGGGAAAGGAAGGAAAGGAAAAGGGTGGGTGGAAGGGAAGGGGAAGGGAGGGGGTGATCTCACACACTATCTTGTGTCTAGTCTTCTTGTCAATTGCCAATCCTTAGACACGATGACTTCTTTACAGTCGCACCATTTCGGCTCTTGCGAGTAACACTAACTAGTGTGTAATGAATTCAAATCAAAATAGCACCGGCACAAGAGCGATCCTTTCCTATCCATTTCGTAGTGCTTCCACGAACGTATTCGCTAACGTGTGCTTGTCAGCCATACGAGTAGTAGCCAAGTATGAGAGAGAGAGAGAGAGAGAGAGAATGGGGGGTAAGGGAGAGGGGGAACCACGCTGGGTTTACTGCCCATTCCATGGTTTCTGGGCTGGATTAAGTGTGAGCAGAGCTGCCACTAGCTCTCCCGTCACTCTTTTGACTCCCATTAACCATGATTAGTGTCCTCTTGGAGGCGCTCCCCCGGCCCTCCAGGGACCACCTCGTAAACAACTCCATCAGCGCAGCACCCTGGCGCGGCGCGCCGTGGTGCGCTCCGGAGGGACGCCCGCACGCCTGGCCGCGCTGGCCCTTCCAGGCCTTCCGAGATTCCGCTATGTTTCCGGGTTCGCAAGTACGACCTTATATAAAACGCCGGAAAATCGTAAGGGAACTTAATATTTGTTCCGCTGTTAGTAACCAGATAAAAAAAAACACGGTCACTTTAGCGTGGCTAGACGCAGCATATAACTAATATAATTAGCATTAGATGTCGCGCTTGAGGACGTCCTCTTTATCACATGAAGCTCGAGTCGCGCCTCTTGGGGGCAACGTGATCCGTGTGCCCGTGCCTCGACCCTCGTCTGTCCTAGATTGCTCCCCGAGTTCCTCACCCTCGAGCTCCTCGCTTCTCGCTAGTCCTCGGGGGGAGCCGTGGCGCTGAGAAGGGAATGGCGCGAGGGAAGAGGGGAGTTCTAAGTGCGTGTGCACGAGCGGTTAGCCCCCCACGCGGCAGGGATATAGAGGGCTTTAATATTTGTGTAAGTTAGCAGTAGCCATGACCCTAACCCGAGTAATTTGCCCCGCGCCGTCCCTGCATGGGAACTACCTCCTTATCCTGGCGGGCAGCCTTCCCCACGCCCACGCCGCCGCCTCGCTCACCCACGCCCGCACACGCCGTGCTCGCATGATGCTGCACGCTCGGCGGTAGCCAGTGTGAGGAAGTCACTTCCTTAATTCGAATGGATGTTTCCTCGGTGCACGGCTCGAACATCACGGTGTACACGATTGCACATTGTTTTGCCTAATTTGCTGTGAGCAGAGAGGGAGATAATCCTACGCCAGAGCGAGCAGCAGGACAGGATTGACATCGGGCAAGCTCTCAGTAAGTACTTAAATCGGCCAAGAAAGGGTGGGAGGCATAAAAGAGGAAGCACCTGGTGTGAGTGAAAGTCAGATAGAGGCGCATATCGTATGGGAGATCGGCTGCGGGCAGGACTTCGGTAGAGGAGGGGGGAGTGAGTGGGGGGCGTATTGTGCGGCCGTTTACGAGAGTGTCCGGCGGGTTACGAGCCATAACCCCGCTTACGGCCTCCTACACCACCTTATAAAACCCACAGTCTTTACCACGACTGCTGCCCGCGCCTCCCTACATCCGCATTTCTCATTGTATTCGCACATTCACCACAGTGTTTCGGACAGTGGGGCGTACATAGCCGCGTAATAAGGGTCACGACTTAAACCTGCGGTATTTTGGCGGCGGACATTCCTCGGCAAGACCTTCGACGACTTCCGCCGCGTGTTCTGTGAGCCGTCGTCATCTCTATTGAGACTGCCCCGCAGCCGTGCCAATCATGCCGCCACAAAGACGCGGCTGAACGATGCATATAGGCCCTGATTGGTCATTGAGACTCGGGGGGCGAGACAAGTGATTGGCGGAAACCAATACGGCCATCATGTATTTTATTGTAGAGCGGGCGTCGTCGCGGTGATCACGGCCTGATTCATGGTGCCTCCCGTGCCCTCGATCTGCTCAGCCCTTCGCGCCGCACAACCCTTCGGTGCCGCGCGTCCCTGAGGGATGCTCATTGAGAGGACCTTATTGGGAATCCGCTGGAAGGGTAGAATTTGTCTGCAGGAATATTCGGGATATGCGGCCTTCAACTTATTGAATGGACTGAAAGAAATGAATGGGGAATGCATGAGGGAATGGCGAGAAGATACCTGGTGGAAGTTTTACATCTTAAATTTCTTTCTGAATGTGATTAATGATTAAATCCCATCATGACACTGACCTTCCGCTTTTGTGCTGAGTGTTCCAACTACATTTTTTAAAGCAAAACAGTAGTTCTTCTGATTTGAGTTACAAGTAGGATTTAGGTTTGTAAATTCACCGTGACTATGAGGATTATAATTGTGCCTAGCGTGAGTATTTTTAGTTGCAGTGAAAGTTCTGATGTCTGGCTGCCACTGCAGTTTTAATATAACGGTTTAGTTTTTTAATGTATACACTTCAGTTTTTAACTGTATTAAGTGCATGCCGGTACGTAAGATTGAACAAACGATGAGTGAGTATTGATTAAAACTGGCAGATAGTCACGCAACAAGAACTTGTCGCTACTTGTCTTTTGACACTTGAAATGTATACTATATGTAGATAACAGAATGGTTTTCCTTTCACGCAAGTCGGGTTTCCTCGGTCCACTCGCGGAGCAGAGCACCTTAATGAAGATTAGAATGTGCTTTCAAATTTCACTCATGGTTTTGTTCGCGAGGAGGCCTGTTCCTGGTGGACTGAGGCCCCAACTGTGGCGCCGAGGTATACTCTCCAAGGTCGTCACGTTTCATCACCATGTTATTTACAGGAGACGTCGTCGAAATTTCAGCAAGCAAGCCTCTGAAATTCTGAATGAATATTTCTACTCCAACCTGTCAAACCCGTACCCCTCTGAGGAGGAGAAAGAGGGCCTGGCACGTCGGTGTGGCATAACAGTCAACCAGGTACACTTTCTTCATCACCAGCATCACCACCATTCTGCCGCCACTATAGCCACCACCACCACTGCTACACTGCCCCCACCATCACTCCCCATCACAACCATCACTTGACTCCAACAACGAACTACCAAATACTAGTACCCTTGCTAGTCGACTCAAACTAGACAGGAACTTGCATCCCCTCGTGACCCAGACCTAGCGTGCGGTGGCGGAGGGTGACCTTGTGTAGTGCGGGGTGACCAGCCAAGTTGATCCCTGCTGGCGCCTCTACTTCAGGCAGTAGGTTTGTCTTCTGGCTCGCCCGAGGCAGCACTACGCATTGCGCCCCTCCCTCCCCGGCATGCCCCTCATACCGCGTGTTCTCCACACGTCCCTCTCAGTGAATTCATTTTCGGTTTGGCCCGACTCGAAGTGTGGTGATGGCGAGGTATGCGAGGCGGAGCACGTGTGGCAGGGTGCGGTGTACCCGGTGGTCTCCGGCATGCGAACACCACCACGTGCCGCTGGCTGGCGTGACGGAGACGTGATGACTGACTCGCGGACTACGCTGGGTGTAGAGCTTGATGAGCCCTGGCTCCCGTGCTGCCGCCGCCGCCGCCTCCACGCCGACGGCTCTCAGCACTGTAGAATGTAGAAGCAGCGTGGGGTCAAGGTCAAAGTGCCACCGCCTGCACGCCAGGACGCAGGCAGCGGCAGAGAGCGCCGGGTGGGGCGTCGCGGCGGCAGGGACGGGGCCGGAGTAACGCTTGGTGGACGGTGTTGTGGCGCTTTGGTAGTTCGTTGTTATCCTTCCCTTAGCTTTTTATTTGGTCAAGGTGTTTTTTTATGGCTGTTCTCTTTCAGGCGCAAAAGACGCAACTTTTCCAAACAAGCTACAGAGATTTTGAACGAGTACTTTTACTCGCACCTAAGTAACCCCTACCCTAGTGAAGAGGCCAAGGAGGAATTGGCCCGGAAGTCCAATATAACAGTGGCTCAGGTAAAGAGCGTAACGTTCTCGTTCACTTTCTTGCAGGAAACGAAGACGAAACTTTAGTAAACAGGCCATTGAGCTCCTGAATGATTACTTCTATTCCCACTTATCCAATCCCTATCCGAGCGAGGAAGCCAAGGAGGAACTGGCGAGAGCGTGCGACATCACGGTTCAGCAGGTATGGTGCCGGTACACCGGGGCCCCTCTTACACCCGTGGGCGGCCCCTCTGACACCCACCGAGAGCCCCAACACCCGTACTGGGCCGTCCGCACTCCCGGGTGCTGGACGCCCTTACAGTTTAACCATCAATGGGAGGCTGCCCACGGGTGTTGGAAGCGGATATTCCCAGGCAATCTGGCGGCCACCAGGCCAAGGCAATAGTACTATGACCCTCCATCACTCTCACATTAGGCACAGTCATGCTCGGAGCATTCTCTTTTGTCAGCCTATTCCCAGCTACACAAGACTGAATGATTTCTGTTTTCATTAAATGTTTGCCAACCTGATGCACGCCAAGTGCGGTCATCTCTGACGAGTGCTTCCTTCTGCTGAGTGTTGGCTTGGGATTCTGCCCTGGGCGACGCACTCTTGCAGAAGGAACATTGGTTGTAGAGACCGAGAAGGCCCTGGTGTACGGCTGCCGTTTGCCACATGAAACTCATATATATATTTGTATATATATATATGGATATATATTCCTGCTGCGTCGTGATGCCACGTCTGAGGTGAAGGCGTGCCGTGCTCCTCTACTAACCCACTAACACGCGGCACGCCTCCCCTGCACCTGCTCCACGAGTATGTG